AAAAAAAAATTTTTTTAATTAGCCAGGTGTGATGGTGCACACCTATAGTCCCAGCTCCTTAGGAGGCCAAGGTGGGAGGATGCCTTGAGCCAAGGAGTTGGAGGCTGCAGTAAGCTATGATTGCGCCACTACACTCCAGCCTGGGCAATAGAGCAGACCCTGTCTCTAAAATAAACAAACAAAAAATATTTAAAATGAAAAGAAAGAGGACATTTTTTTTTTCATTCTGTCACCCAGGCTGGAGTGTGGTGGCATGATCACAGCTTACTGCAGCCTCTACTTCCTGAGCTCAAGCAATTCTCCTACCCCAGCCTCCTGAGTAGCTGGGACTACAGGTGTGTGTCATCACACCTGGCTAATTTTTGTATGTTTTGTAGAGATAGGGTTTCACCAAGTTGCCCAGGCTGGTCTTGAACTCCTGGGCTCAAGAGATCTGCCTCCCTTGGCCTCCCATAGTCCCAAGATTACAGGAGTGGGCCACCATGCCTGACCTTAGAGAGGGCATCATTTGTTTTTTGGTTTTGATTTTTTGAGACGAAGTCTCGATCTATCACCCAGGCTGGAGTGCAATGGTGCGATCTCGGCTCACTGCAACCTCTGCCTCTTGGGTTCAAGCAATTATCCTGCCTCAGCCTCCCGAGAAGCTGGGATTACAGGCACACACCACCATACCCAGCTAATTTTTGTATTTTTGTAGAGATGGGGTTTCGCCATGTTGGCCAGGCTGGTCTTGAACTCCTGATCCCAGGTGATCTGCCTGCCTCAGCCTCCCAAAGTGCTGGGATTACAGGCGTGAGCCACTGCACCTGCTCAGAGAGGGCATCTTAACCAAGATTACTCGCCATTATCATCACCACCACCACCATGATTTTGTAACTGAGGAACTGAATTAAACTCTTTATCTTAAGATTTGTCCGCTTCTTCTCTCTCAGAACGAAGCAGGCTAAGTGGAGGAAGAGAGGTCAAGAGAGAAGAGGCAGAAACTCACCGTCTGAGGCCGAGGAGGACTCATCCTCATTGTCATCTTCCTCCCACTGGGACTGAAAGTCTCCGGGACGAAGCAGCACTTTTTCTGGCCTTGAAGTCGGCAGGACAGACATGGACTGGGAAAGGGGCGTTTTCTGCAGATTTGACTTGGAAAACAGGGTCTTGATCTTTGATTTCTTTTTCTTGTCTTTGGGCACAGACTCATCATCGCTGTCGACTGAGGGTGTCGTGCTGGGGACGATGGCAGAGGCGGTGTCTGACCCACTGTCCTTATTCTTCCCCTTGATCTTGTCCTTCAGTTTTCCAAATGGATTCCGAGATTTGTCTTTCATGGAAAGGTCAAACATGCTGGCAGTCATGTTGTTTCTCATAAACTGGATGTCAACTTCAATTTCTCCTCGCTCCTTGTCTTTCTTTCCTGGTTTGGACTTCAGCTTATACCACCTGAAAGGAGAAAGGCTGAGGAGTTACATTTGAATGGAAGAGACTGCAACAATGTTCACAGTCTCCATGAACTGGCCTCTCTTCTCTGCTACCAGCAATCTGTTCCATGCATGCATTCTTAGGGCTTCTCTTTGGGGAGATCCAGATGAAAGCAGATTTTTTTTTCTTTTTTTTTAAGACAGAGTCTTGCTCTGTCACCTAGGCTGGAGTGAAATGTTGTGATCTTGGCTCACTGCAGCCTCTGCCTCCCAGCTTCAAGAGATTCGTCTGCCTCAGCCTCTTGAGTAGCTGAGATTACAGGCACTGGTCACCATGTCCGACTAATTTTTGTATTTTAGTAAAGACGGGGTTTCGCCATGTTAGCCAGGCTGGACTCCAACTCCTGACCCTCAGGTGATCTGCCCGCCTCAGCCTCCCAAAGCGCAGGGATTACAGGCATGAGCCACTGCACCCGGTAAAGGGCAGAATTTGCACTTTTATTTGTATTTCTTTTGTTCGTTTTATTTTATTTTGCACTTTTATTTTTAAGAAGACATGTACTAGACAAAGATAGGATCTGGTGTTGTACTTAGCATATAATAATGTAAAATCCTGATTCAATAAAGAGCTCATTCTAAAAATAAAGAAAAAAAATATTCCATGGAATCACTTCCAATGACTGAAGTTTTCCTTCAGTAGAGTAAAAATGCAAAGATCAGGGCCAGGCGCAGTGGCTCACGCCTGTAATCCCAGCACTTTGGGAGGCCCAGGTAGGTGGATCACAAGGTCAAGAGTTCGAGAACAGCCTGGCCAATATGGTGAAACCCTGTCTATACTAAAAATATAAAAAATTAGCCAGGTGTCATGGCACATGCCTGTAGTCCCAGCTACTCGGAAGGTTGAGGCAGGAGAATCCCTTGAACCCAGGAGGCAGATGTTGCAGTGAGCTGAGATCATGACACTGCACTCCAGCCTGGGGACAGAGTGAGACTCCACCTCAAAAAAAAAAAAAAATAAATAAAGCAAAGATCATATACAAACAGCTAAGAAGGGTGGCATGCAAATGTATAATTAAATCTCAGAGAAAATCAAGTTTGTAGTAAGGAATAGTCCTTGCTAGGGAGTAATAAAACATACAAGACAGAATTAAAAAAAAAAAAAGGTGGGGAGGGGGCCGGGCATGGTGGGTCACACATGTTAATCCCAGAGCTTTGGGAGCCTGAGCCAAGAGGATCACTTGAGGCCAGGAGTTCAAGACCAGCCTGGGCAACACTGCAAGACCCCATCTCTATAAGAAATTAAAAATTAGCCGGCATGGTGGTATGCGCCTATAGTTCCAGCTGCTCAACATGAGCCTAGGAGTTTGAGGTTGCAGTGAGCTATAATTGTACCACTGCTCTCCAGTCTGGGTGACAAAGTGAGACCCTGTTTCTAAAAATAAATAAATACAAATAAAGAATTTTTAAAAAGAGTGTAATCAGGCCAGGTGCAGTGGCTCACACCTGTAATCCCAACACTTTGGGAGGCAGAGGCAGGCAGATCACCTGAGGTCAGGAGCTCGAGACCAGCCTGGCCAACATGGCGAAACTCGGTCTCTACTAAAAATGCAAAAATTAGTCAGGCGTGGTGGTGAGTGCCTGTAATCCCAGCTACTCAGGAGGATGAGGCAGGTGAATTGCTTGAACCCAAGAAGCAGAGGTTGCAGTGAGCTGAGAGCATGCCACTGCAACAGAACCAGACTCCATCTCAAAAAAAGAGTGAAATCAGTCAGTTAGAAAATGACAAATACTTTATGAGTCTGCTTATGTGAGGTTCCTGGGGTAGTCAAATTCATTGAGGCAGAAAGTAGAATGGTGATTGCCAGAGGGGAAGGAAAGAATGAGGAATTAATGTTTGATGGGTATAGAGCTTCAGTGGGGGAAAATTTAAAAGTTCTGAAGATGGATGGTGGTTATGGTCACAGAACAGCACGAATGTTCTTAATGACACTGAACTGCACACTTAAAAATGGGGCCGGGAGTGGTGGCTCCCACCTGTAATCCCAGCACTTTGGGAGGCCGAGGTGGGCAGATCACTTGAGATCAGAAGTTTGTGACCAGCCTGGCCAACATGGTGAAACCCTGTCTCTACTAAAAATACAAAAAATACCCAGGCATCATGGCACATCTTGTAATCCTAGCTAATCTAGAAGCTGAGGCAGGAGATTCGCTTGAACCCAGGAAGCGGAGGTTGCAGTGAGCTGAGATTGTGCACTGCACTCCAGCCTGGGCGACAGAGCAAAATTCTGTCTCAAAAAAAAAATAAAGGGATAAAATGGTAAATTTAATTTTATATGTGTTTTACCACAATAAAACAAATGGGGAATTGAAAAGGAAGCCTTCTTCCCTAGCTTAATAATCAGAAAAAGGAACACTTCAAACACTATCCAAGTATTACACTTGGTCATTTGCGATCTACTTCAAGATGTGGCAAATGACATGATATAAGTCCAGCTCCCCTGAAAGACAAACTTCCAAAAAAGGAAATCTCCTCATGGCATTCATTTTCCATCTAAGAGCCCTATACTTTTAGTGAACTGTAAGAATGTGAGCCAGGCTGGGTACAATGGCTCACACCTATAATCTCAGTGCTTCAGGAGGCTGAGACAGGAGGATTGGTTGGATTCAAGAGTGGGATCTTGCCTTGTTGCTTATACTGATCTCACTGATCAGTATAAGCAACAAGGCAAGATCCTAAGCAACAAGGCAAGATCCCACTTCTCTAAAAAACATGTATATATACACATATATATGTGTGTGTTTTTTTGAGACAGAGTCTCGCTCTGTTGCCCAGGCTGGATGGAGTGCAGTGGCATGATCTTCGCTCACTGCAACCTCTGTCTCCTGCACACAAACAATTCTCCGGCCTCAGCCTCCTGAGTAGCTGGTACTACAGGCGTGTGCCACAATGCCTGGCTATTTTTTGTATTTTTAGAAGAGATGGGGTTTCCTCATGTTAGCCAGTCTGCTCTCAAACTCCTGAACTCAAGTGATTCACCCACTTTGGCATGAGCCACCAAGCTTGGCTAAAAAAAATTTTTTTTTAATTAGCTAGGTGCAGTGGTGCACGCCTATAGTCCCAGCTACTCAGGAGGTTGAAGCAGGAGGATTACTTGAGTCCAGGAGTTCGAGGCTATAGTAAGAGCTATGATTGCGCCACTGTACTCCAGCCTGCGGAACAGAGTGAGACCCTATCTCTTAAAAAATAATAATAATAAGCCCAGTTAGTAGCAAGACCATACAATGGGACAAATAACTCCAAATGCTTGGTTTATAAAGAGTTGTCCACCAGGTCGCCCTTGCAAACTGAGATCTCACATTCTGATATTCTTTTCAGTGACCTATTTAAGGGCCAATGGTTGTGGGCTTTAAGGAAATGATGGTTTTGCCCAAATGAGCACAACTTCCTCTTTCCCCTTCAGCTGTGGCTGGCAGCTTGCTCACAGCGCGGATCCCTGCCCCCACTGCTATGGTTCCTTCAACACTTAGAGGGAAGGTGCAGGGGAAAGTAGAAACCTAACACCTAAATAGCACCTACGGTATACTGACACTGCATAGGCTCAGAAATATCCTCATTTCAGCCTCACAAGAACGACACAGAGTGGTTTTTATACCCATTTTACAGATGAAGAAATTGAAGCTCAGAAGTCTGAAAATTAGCACAAAGTCTTGCAATCATTATAGGGTACAGCTAGGATTCCAAATCAGTTTCCCTACAGCTCCTATTCTCTCCCCTGCACCAAGATTCCTGCTTTAAATTCTCTACTAATTTACCTTTGACAGGCCATCTCTTGTAACATAGAGAAAGGGGCCTCAAATTTAAATTCTTTTTGAGAAACATTTAAGCTTCTAATTTAAATGTCCACAGAGGAAAGAACAGGCCTGGGCACAGTGGCTCATGCCTCTAATTCCAGCACTTTGGGAGGCTGAGGTGGGCAGATCACGAGGTCAGGAGTTTGAGACCAGCCTGACCAACATGGTGAAACACCGCCTCTACTAAAAATACAAAAATTAGCTGGGTGTGGTGGCACGTGCCTGTAGTCCCAGCTACTTAGGAGGCCGAAGCCGGAGAATCACTAGGGGTGGGGGGAGCGCAGAGGTTTCGGTGAGTCAAGATAGAACCACTGCACTCCAGTCTGGGCGACAGAGCAAGACTCCATCTCAAAAAAGAAAAAAAAAAGGCCGGGCGCGGTGGCTCAAGCCTGTAATCCCAGCACTTTGGGAGGCCGAGGCGGGTGGATCACGAGGTCAAGAGATCGAGACCATCCTGGTCAACATGGTGAAACCCCGTCTCTACTAAAAATACAAAAATTAGCTGGGTGTGGTGGCACGTGCCTGTAGTCCCAGCTACTTAGGAGGCCGAAGCCGGAGAATCACTAGGGGTGGGGGGAGCGCAGAGGTTTCGGTGAGTCAAGATAGAACCACTGCACTCCAGTCTGGGCGACAGAGCAAGACTCCATCTCAAAAAAAAAAAAAAAAAAAAAAAAAAAAAAAAAAAAAAAAAAAAAAAAAAAAAAAAAAAAAAAAAAAAAAAAAAAAAAAAGAAAGAAAGAAGAAAGGGAAGAAACTAACACAGCCTGCCATCAGTTGTAAATCATTAAGATGACTTAAAGGCTAGTATGTACACAAAGTCATCAAGAACTTAAAATGAATTCACAAAATACAGCCAAGAAAGGATAAAATTACATAAGCTATAATTTTGGACCTTTAGAACAGAAATCTCTTATGGTTTTTATAAACCCAGTCCAGAGCTGGGCAAGCAGGGAGTGGTAGCTGTTAACAAGATGCAAGGCCTTTTTTTTTTTTCTTTTTTTTTGCAACAGAGTCTCACTCTGTTGCCCAGGCTGGAGTGCAGTAGTGGGATCATAGCATACTGCAGCCTTGAACTCCCAGGCTCAAGTGCAAGATGCAAAGTCTTTATACACAAAGTCACCCCTGCCAGCCTAGTATCTTTCCAATCCTCTTTCCAGGGCCTGGCCTGGA